AACTCTGTTTTGTCCTTCACAGATGCTGCCAGACCTGCTGAGCTTTTCCAGAAACTTAGTTTATATGACTAGTCCAGTTCAACTTGAGGCCAATGGTAATGCCCAGGGTGTTGGTGGTATACAATTCAGCGATGGTAAAGTCATTGATGTCGAGGAAAATATGTTCGACTTTCAATTATGAGACATGATCAATGCCTGGCACTTGTATGGCATAAACATTACTTGTTACATACTGTGATTGGGTTTTGTTTCAGCTTTTTCTCAAAGAGAATTTATATCATGCCTTGGAGAGCAAACGGGATGGCCTCCTGCTCATTGCCTCCCTCACCTTACAACGGTACACACGTGGATTCTTTGCAAGGAAACGTTACATAAAGCTCCGGAGAACAGCCATTCAGTTGCAGGCTTTGGCCAGAGGCTATCTCGTCAGGTAGGTGAAAAATCCAGAGCCTAGGAAAGTAGTCATTGATGCGGGGTCTACACTGCAGAACCTAACAGCCGTAAAGGCAACAGTAATGGCAAAACAACTTTAAAGTGAAAGTTGTTAAGGGAAAGCTAGCTGCAACATACATTTATTACTAAAGGATTTCTGAAACTGCTGATTTGAGGCCTGCAGAATATTTTTGCCTTCTGGTGCCAGTTAGAACACATCTCAAGAAGGCGAGGAACATGTTGTTAGGCAAGAGGAACAGTCGGAAATCATGGTCCAGTTGGGAGCTATAGGAAGGAAAAGAGATGAGGCCTTGCAATCAGAATGTCAGGAGCTCAAGTGCAAAATAAGAAACAGGACCACAAAGGTAGTAATCTCTGGATTGGTTAAAATGCATGTACTGATGAGTATAGGAATAGTAGGATGAATAGATTAACACAAGGCCGAAGAAATTATACAGGAGTGAGGACTCCAAAATTCTGGAACATTATGGCAGGAGGATGAGTTGCATCTTGACAGAGCTGGAATCGGCATCTTTGCCAGGAGATCATCTAGTACTGACAGAATTAAAGCAAAGTCTGTACGGGATTCATACATAGGTGCTACATTATAGAGAGGAAACAATGTACAAAGGGAGAAATAACCCAAGAGTAAAAAGTAGTTCAGAAATAAATCCTCTTACCAATCTTTATAGATGTACCATAGAAAGCATTCCAACCGGATGCAGCACACTTGGTATGGCAACTGCTCTATCCAAGAAGAAACTACAGAATTGTGAACACAGCCAGGTTCATCACACAAACCAACCTTCCATTGACTCCATCTACACTTCCCACTGCCTCGGGAAGGCAGCCAACATAATCAAAGACCCCTCCGACCCCGGTTATAATCTCTGCCAACCTCTTCCATCAGAGAAGATACAAAAGTTTAAACACGTACCAACAGATTCAAGAACAGCATTTTACCCGCTTTTACTAGACTTCTGAACGACCCTCTCAAACTTTAAATTTAACGTTGATCTCACTTTTTGTGCACTTTTCTGCAGCCGTAACATTGTATTCTTCGCTCTGTTCTGTTACCCGAATGTACTTTGTATAATACGACCTGCCCATACTGCACGCGAAACAAAACTTTTCACTGCACTTGGGTTCATGTGACAATAATAAATCAAATCAAAATCAAATCAAATAACGGGTCAGAGAGTGGGCAAACGCAAGCCTACCTAAATTGGATTTTGTACATGAATATGTATGTCATCGTAAATAAGGTTGATGAGTTGTAGACGCAAGTCACCACATGGGACTATGATATTATAGATATCATAGAAACCAGGTTTACAGAAATCCTCTTGACAATTTAATTATTTCTGATGACCTCATATTCAGGAAGAGGATGCAGGGATTGCAGGTTTTGGGAGCAGGGTTGAGAAGATGGTGTCTGGGAAGCCTCATCTGCCTGATCTTGTCCACGTAATACTGTAGTGACATCACCAAAAACAAATGTCAACGGCCTGCACTTGGAAATGGCTTCTTTATTCTGCACCTTATGTTTTCACAGGATTCAGACAGGTTAACCACAGAGCAGTTTAATCCTACAATTTAATTGCAAGCTTAATTTCCAAACTCTATGCTTGGCTATTCTCAGTCTGAGAGTGTGGATATTTACCTTAACATTTAGGGGGCATTTGAAAAGAAATCTACATTATTACCAAGGCTCCCTGTGGTAAACCCATCTCAAGCCAGAACCCAATCAGTACTGGCTGTGATTCCCTCCATGATAGAATGACCTGTGGACACTTCCTGCAGGTGTATCAAAATGGCCACTGAAATGACAAATGACAATTCTCCAGCACACGTGGGTCTCTAGACTGATGTCATGAGACTCTACCCCAAAGCCTATGGAAGAACCCAACCAAGGACTTTACCTTTTGGAGGAATGAAAATTGATTAAAAAGAAGTAAGACAAGAATATGAGAGATATAAAAATAAGGGCCCAAGGATCTGTGGCTGCAGTCTAGTGATTACACTGGGACGGTGCTCTCCAGCACACTCTCGACAGGAGCTTTCAAGGTTAGTTTGCATGTGACTTGTAGGTAGCACTGCCAGTACAGTTGTTTGTTCAGCATTTCATAGTCAAGATCCAGTACTTGCCCAACATTTGCGTGAA